TACCACATGTACTTAGTTTATTACTTTCCAGAGCAAAATTATTATAAGCTTATAACCTAGATACAATGGAAGTTTCATTAAACTTTTAGGTCTCCAAGTCATTCTAATACTGTTGTAATGACCTGGTTATTATTTAACAAGAAGGGAGCAAAGGGAAGACCAGATAATATAGGCATGCCATTTATACAGCTTTGCCAGAAAGCTGCAGGTTAACACTCTCCAGGTCTTCCCCCCAGATCAATCAGGAAAGGGACTGAACTGAAGCTGCTTAAATGCATGCCCAGTAAGGTCTGGGTGATGTGCAAATCACACCTATCAATCACACCTGAAAACAAACCACTGGCGAGAACAGGCATGACCACTGCAAGCGAGGGAAGATCTGATATTTAAACTCCTAAACAAGTGGGTTCGCTCTCTTGGCTTCTCTTGCTCTCTTATTGCTTGTGCCTGACTCCTAGTTTATGGGGCTCTCACACTCAGTGCTTGCCCACATGGCCTACACCCATGTGGACCCCACACGCAGTGGACTAAGGGACTGTGATTATCCTGATACTGTGTCAATCTTAACTCCACCATGGAACAGAAACTTTGGACACTGGCCTTCCTTCTAGCTCTGCTAAATCCACAGCTGCATATTTTCCAGGACTGGTTTAAGGAAAATGGGACTTTGAAAACTGAGGGCTATAACTTTATGCACATAAGACCTGTTACCACATTTCATCTTCCCATGGGGGTCTCCAGAAATGCTTATTCCAGTAGTACTCCAAGAACCCCACTCCCTTAAACCAGGCCTGGAAGAGGTGTAACTGGGGATTCAGCAGAGTTAAAAGCAAAGTCAGCATCCAAAGTTCTTGTTCTATGGTGGAGTTGGGTCTGACAGAGCACCAGGCTAGTTCTGGTCCATAAGCCCATTGTGGGGATGGGTCCACACTAGAGAGAGAACCCTTTTGTTCAAGAGTTTAAACATCAAATCTTCCTACACTTGTAGTGGCCACACCCATTTTGGCCAATGATCTGTTTCCATGTGTGACTGACAGGCAAGTATCTTCCCTATGACATTCAGACTTTATGAGCATACATTTATTTGGCCTTTCCTTTGCTCCTTTCCAGTTATTAATGAATTATGGGTTAATTACAATGAAATCACCATTAGGGGCAGTATAGAAGCTGAAATCCCTGCACTCTTTATAAATTTCTGTGTTCATTTTGATGGAAATGTAGTCAAAGGCATTTAGTTATCATTTTCCATTAAAGTTCTAAACGATTAAATTATTTTATATGATAAAAAGTTGCTAAGTCTCTTAAAAGCAAAATGATAGGAAAATAGAAAGATTCCTAAGCTAAAATGGAAAAGACTCTAGGACTTCCTCCCAAGCTGTTTAAACTTGCACTAATAATTGAATTTCTCTGAGCTTCATCATTATGCATTTTTAATAATAGAATATTGGATTATATTATTTTTATGTCCTCTGTACATTCTAAAGTTCCATAATTTAAATGAATACATTTAAGTAAATAAATAAATAAAAAAAAACAAGACAAATTAAAAAGTCCTAAAATTTCAAATAGCTGCAATTATTTCCACAGTATTTTCCTGAAGTGATTCAAAGCTAGCCGTGGTTGAATTGCTAAATGACTGAATTTGCAAAAGTGGGCGATAATTGAGCTGCTACGCTCAACCCTTATTAATTATTAATGACTTCTCTTGGACTTTGAATCAGAAGGGTTTTCAACCAAAGAAGTTCCGACTGAGCTGTCTGAATTATGAATCATCTCCCACACTGAGGTGGTCCTTCCCAGCTCCAATGTACTCATTGGAACTACTAGGAAATTTAACTGTGGTTGCCTCTGTTGTACTTGGCTTTTAAGGCTCCAGCCATCTGAATGCACTCACCCTTTGTGTGGCTTTCAGTCTGGCTGCACACACTCGCCAAGACCCAGCTTCAGAAGTGCATCTGGGTCGCAGAAGCTGGCCCTGTAGTCTCCTCCACCCCCTTTTGTTGTCTGTGTGTAACATATGTTAGGCACCGAGGAGACAAACAAGGATAAAATGGTATTCTCCTTTCCCATCTGATTCTCTGCCAGAGACACAAATCCCAACCAAAGCATCAGATTTCAATGTTCTGACTACTGAGAAACCCCTTTCTTGTTCTCTATCCATCACCTTTCTTCTCGTTGAATACTTTCCCGCTAAGTACAAAGCAATACAGTTTAATAAAATGCAGGGTTATTTCTCACTAGTCCCTTTCCAATTCCTGGTCATTAATACTGTGTTTGTGACATAATATTTCATAGAAATGTCATCTGATACATAGGTTATCTATTCACAGTATTTTTGAACTCCTGAAATTAAAAAATACAGATAGTCCTTTGTCTATGAGTTCTATTCTATGAATTCATCAAAAAGTTAGTTGTTTGTATCTCATAATATATTTCTTGTGGAAATAACTTTAAAAATGGTGATAGAACTCCAGTTTAGAAGAGAGAGAGAGACACCTAAATTAACATACCACACACACCATTACATAGCCTTTGCAAGCAAATGTTTGTCTGTTCCATATGGAAGCTGAGAATCCCTTGGGTGGGTTTCCAGTGGGTCTGATAAGGAGATGGAGGCCCCTGTCCCATGGAGGGTGCAGCATTATCATGTGGCCACACTGCCTCAGTTTCTACTTCAATGGGATACAGGGCCCCACAGGCTGAGGATGGAGTGTTTACTCTGGCTCTTCACATTTGCAGATCCTTGCAGTGGGTGTTTTCCTATCGGAGATTGCCAAACATGATCAAACCCTGCTGCATGAAGAGTTGTATTCTAGAAGTATGTTTGGGACTTTAGAGATCTATTTGAACTGAGCATTGCTGTATTTTATCAGAGTAACTGTTTCTGTTTCTTTCACTTACAATGCATCTGAAACATTTTCAAATATTCAGGAAAGTACAATTAACGATGGAATGAAAGTATGTATCATCATTACTTCCATTCAAAAATCATTATGGTTTTGCTTGATTTGGATCAGCTATCTTTCTGTTTTCATTTAAATTTTTTAGTGCCAAATATTTTGTAGCAAAACCTAGATTTCATGTCATATGTACTTCAGTTCTACAACTCTATAAAAACAGCTACGTTTTCTACACAATGACAGTGCATTATAACTTCCAATAAAACAGTACTTTTATCATGGAATACTCTGTTTATAATCAGTTTCCCACATTGCCTATGAAATGTCTCTTATTTTCTCTGGCCACTGTGTTCAGTGGTTAGAACATCAGCCAGAACAACAAAAGTTTGTGGGTTCAGTTCCTGATCAAGGTCGCGTACATAGGTTACAGGTTCAGTCCGTGGCCCCAGTCAGGGCTCATGCAGGAGGCAACCAATCTATGTATCTCTCTCACATTGATGTTTCTCTCTCTCTCTCTCTCCCTCTCTCTCTCTGTCTCTCTCTCTCTTTCCCTCCCTTTCTCTATCTCTTCTTTTATTTTTCTTGCTCTACAAATCAATGGAAAAAATACCCTCGGGTAAGGATTAACAGTAAAATAAAATAAAATGTCTCATATTTAGTTTGTTCCAATTAGTATTCAAACGAGGTGCCCACACAACATCAGTGCCATGTATCTGACAGAGACTTTCATGGGGAGCAGTCCCATCTGACTTCCATTCACTGACTTGTTACCAAACCCATGTCAGCGCCATGATTGGTGGTGGCTGGGTTTACTCCCTCAAGAACAATTAACATTTTTTAATAACTAAAATATCCTCTAAAGGGAGCTTAACACTAGAGGTGAGTAATTTTGTAAAATATTGTAACAATGTATTGATTTTTGTCATCAGCAGGTTCTAATAAATCCATTTACATAGTGCTTGAAGAAAAGTAAAATACTCTGTTATCTGCTAAAAAACTCTTTTATGGTCTATGGAAGAAAGAATGATGTAGTTGAGATTCAAAGGGTTCCAACATTGCCCAATATTAATGATATAACATACCAACTGTCTTACACATGGCTTGCTATCCTTGCTTATGACACCTACCTGGCTCCTATTCTCCTTAGAATTGGCAGACTCTGGAACAGTGGGTTCTTACAGAGAAATGTTGCAAGAGAACATGAGAGTTATACATCAGATTTTGAAGAGACTTGAATTATTTAAAATATGTTTCTATTGATTTTTTTACAGAGAGAGGGAGGGAGAGAGAGATAGAAGCATCTATCAGTTGGCTGCCTCTTGCACTCCCCTTACTGGGGATTGAACCCACAACCCGGGCATGTGCCCTGACTGGGAATCAAACTGGGACCTCTATCCATGGGACTATACTCAATCCACTGAGCCACACCGGTCTGGGCTAAAGGAAATTGAATTGTAAAACAAGGCCCCTTTTTATATTTGACTTGATTTTGTGCCTCTAGGATATACTGTTAGATGGTGTATCTACAGGTAAGAGACCAGTTAGGATTCTCTTTGAATAAGCAGGATCTCCCTGATGCAATAGATAACAGCTACAATAATGAGTTGTTGCTACATGACTGACTATTGGGTGAAACCAAACCCAGAAAACGAATGTAATACTGTATTTTCTCTCCCCTATTCATGTTTTGCTAACATAAACCATCAAAGACATAGTTGAAAGGTAAAAACTAAAGATGAGAGAAGTATGCCTTGACAATTCAGTACCATTTTAATATGTCAGAACATCATTATGTAGATACTACTATTACTTTTATTTTTAAGATGACAAAATGGAGTCATAAAAAGTTTTAGTTATTTCCCCAAGATCAGAGTAATAAACTGAGGCATTCTAGCTCTTAACCTCGGAATACACTTATTGATCATTTTAGCCTTTACGTGAGCACCAGGTGATAGAAAAACTTTTTCCAATTCTGACGCCAACCCTAAAACTTGTGATATATCTTAACCCGTGTGGGGTTTTAATGTGAGTATTCATATATTGCACACGCACTGAATGATAACTGTGCATATGAATCAATGTTCCTTCTGTTTTAAACAGGTCATTGATAACCTTGGTCCCTTGGAACTGATTCTTAACACTCCTAGCCATCATAGGGTTCATCATGGTAAGGAACTGTGACCTCTTCTTTTTTTCCCTTTTTGTTTCTTTAATAATGATATTATTCTGCATCATTTTATTGCAATTACCCAGCATAATCAGCACAAACTTTGCAAATAGGCATCGCTCCTTAGAGTCTGGACAAGCCACCATCTCCAGAGCAAGGGCCAGAGACCAAAAAGAAAAACAAACAAACAAACAACAAACAAAAAACCCAATAACAACTTCTTCATATCTGGCTTTTGGATTTGTCTTTTTGCCCGAATATTCTCAGGTGTAGTGGGGGAAAAAGTTAAACAGCTGAGCGGATATACACTTCATGTCTTGAAGGCCACTCCTGGACCAGATGCTGAGGCCGTCCCTATCTGGAGCCAGAGAGTGCCTGGTCTTAAAAACTGTTGGGATTTGAGAAAAGCTTGATCAACAACACTTGACTTTCCTGCTTCAGTTCTGTAAACAAATCCCTCGTGCACTGCATTTGCTCCACAAAGAGAAAGTCCCACGTGGCCAGTGCCTCCAGGTTAAAGATACCGGCTAAGGAACAACAGAACATTTTGCATTGCGCGCTGAAAGACCTGGACAAGAATGCACATATCAGCGTTACTTGTAACAGGAGAAAAAGAGACCTAATTCAGGAGTTTATCAGCAGTAGAACAGATATACTGCAGACTATTCATGTAATGGAGAACTGTATCCCAGTGACAACACCCAAACCATCCTGACATGCAATGGAATGAACAAATCTCACAAACAGAATGTTGAGAGAAGAAAGCCGGTAATAAAAGAATGAATACTGTCATTCTGTTTCACAAGTTTCCAGGAATCAGACAGCACGGAGCACTGCAGGTCTGCCTTCCCAGGGCAGCAGGTCCCTATTTCCATGGCGGGGAGCAGAGCACAGACCAAGCTCCCCGTTTCCTCCTCCAGATTCGACAGTCATCCCCTACCACGAGGAAATCATTAGGAGGGGCTGGAGAGGCCAAGACTATTATACTCTTGGGGTTCCCTCTATATGAAAGGAAATAGAAGGAGTGGAGCAGACCAAGTCCACCATTTGAAAAAGAAATAGTTTCCTCTGCTTGACCTTCACATACACGTTGCTTTACATCAGCCTTGGCACTATTAACATTTTGATATTAATTTTAAAAAGACCAGCCGGTTCTTTGTTGGCAGGCAAGAGGGCTGTCCTGTGTATTGTAGCCTGTGGGTCTCCACAGACTAGATTTCAATAATATCTCCTCGATGTTGTGACTACCAACAATGTCTTCAGACATGGCCATGTGCCCCTGAGGGGCCATCTGCCTCTCTCATCCAATCCAGCTTCTGTTCACGCCGCGCATGGCGTGGGCTGCATCTGTGTACCAGTCCCATTGACTTTTGCCCTGGGGGAGATTTTTCCTGGTGTCTTCACTTTCAAATGTACATTTAGATGTAGGGAAAGTGTGTGAAGAAATGAGGACACATGAAGACAGCGAGCTTGTTGGAGTAGTAGTTTGAATATTGTTTATTCTTATTTACCATCATTGGATATGGTTGTGTGATTATTAAAGAAGTCATGCCCAGTATTTAAATTATAATTTGACTACTTTGGAATATTAAATATCATATATGTTATGAATACATTTAAAATATTGAAGGTAATATAATTTTCACTTATGTATTTAATGATTTAAAAAAATAATAATGACTCACTCGAAGTAGACAATTTTCTTCCTGGAAAAGATGCTAAGAAAATGAGTGAACATAATATACTTAAAAATTTTTTAATTCAAATTACACATATTATCCATCTTATTTCCTAGTGCCATTATTTTCTGGATCGTTTTTTTTTAATTTTTTTTTTGGTACGTGCCCCTAGTGGAAACCGAACCCGGGACTCTCTGGTCCGCAGGCCAATGATCCAACCTCTGAGCCAAACCAGCCAGGTCCTGGATCATATAATTTTTAATTATTAATTTGATAGTCCTAAAAATAATTATTTATAATTATCCAAGATTTTTTTCTAACTGGAAAACTATGAGCACAAACATGTTTTAAAATCTGTGATAATTCTTGCCCTGGCTGGTTTGGATCAGCAGTTAGAGCATTGGCCTGCTTACCAGAGAGTCCCAGGTTTGGTTCCCACTAGGGGCACATACCTCAGTTGCAGTTTGTCCCCAGCCCCAGTTAGGATCGTGTGGGTGGACGCCAGTCGATGTGTCTTTCTCACGTCGATGTTTCTCTCTCTCTCTTCCTCCCTCTCTCCCTCCCGCTTTATCTGATGATAAATGCAAAAATGTCCTCGGGTGAGGATTAAAAAAAGATAAAATATGTGATAATTTTTAATAGTTTTAAGAAAACCTTGCTCTTTTTAGTAAAATTAATTGAAAACTAAAATGAAAACTCATTTTACTACAAATAAAGGCTAGCGTTGTCGGTGAAAACACATTTGTAGGAGCACCGTTCTGTTACATAAGCCTTCACTTTGTGAAAGGGTTCTAAAATACAAGATGAGGTGTTCCCAGCCACATAACTTTGTACTTTAAAAAATATTTCTAATATTTTTCTCATAGGCAGAAACCGTTACTGCATAGACAAAAAGTATGCTGGCACACTTATTATATGGGATAGAATTTTTGGTAAGTAAAATGTACCTTAATTTTCTAAAATGAATTTGCTCCCAATTCTCAGAAAGTCAAAGATCATATCCTTAATGTTTATCTTCCAGGGACATTTGAGGCCGAGAATAAAAAAGTTGTGTACGGGCTGACACATCCCATTAATACATTTGACCCACTCAAGGTGCAGGTAACGTACTTAGTTTAAGTCTTTCTAAATCGATCATATTCGATAATAAACTCATCTTTCAAAGAAAACACAGTTTAACAAGGTAGCCTTACACTAGCCTGAAAAAAAAAACTTTTTTAACCGTAAAAGAATTTGAAAATAACTCTAGTGCTTAAAAAAAAAAGATGAATCAAACAGGGCAGAATATATTAGAAAACAATTAATACCATTTAAAAACATGTCTGCTACCTAGAATTTAAAAATGGCTCTTTAGCAAACATCTTTCACAGAATAGACCTGAAATATTCATGCATTCAGAAGGAGCTGTAGTCACATTTATAATTAAGGCTGATCCCACAGTAAGAAAAATATTTGCTTCAAGTCTGCATGACGCTGGTTAGAAATTCAGTGTGAGGTCTGCCCCCTCTTCTTGGATCTACATGTCAGGAGCTATTACGGGTTGGTTAGGTCTGCACATTCCCTCACCTGTGAAGGCTTGTTGCCCTGGCCCAGTTCTCTCCTAGACGTGTGGTATTGGTTGTTTGCTGGTCTCCATGGTTGGCACTAGAGACATTAGGAATGTCTGTGAAGCTCCGATCTGTCAACGGCAGACCACCTCAAACGTTCCTGGGGTTGGGTGCTAGGAAATGAGAAAAAGATAAGAATGCTTAGAACGCTCAAGAGGTCGGTCAATGACAGCTTTGACCGGGGCCTGGGTTTACAGCATTCAGGAAGGGAGCAAATTACAGGTTCCTGTTGGGTCTGCTCTTCAAACCTACTTCTTCGTGTTTGTAGGAAAGTAAAAATAAAATAAATTGATATTTATTGAGCCGCTACTAGGTGCAGGGCACTGCCTCATAGCTCAGCACAAGTATGTAACGTAACCATTACTGAAAGACTTCCAGGCAGAGATTCGTTTTTTTTTTGGTGGATGAAGCTGAGGTTCCCAAGATTTAAATACTTCACCCAATGACACACGGCTTGTCAAGGGTGAACGTGGCCACGATGGGTGCCAGCCAAGCCCCAGCCTTGCTTAACTCCATTTGAACCTGACCCTCTCCTGCCTCTTGACAGAAAAGATCATCACTTCAATGAAAGGCATTTTTATCTCACACTTCAAAAGAAAAAATGATTATTTCTCTTTTTCTCCAGAACATTTCTTTCTGTGTTTCTTGGTCTCTCTCTCTCTCTCTCTCTCTCTCTCTCTCTCTCTCTGTCTCTCTCTCTCTCTGACTCTCTCTCTCTCTACCTCTCTCTCTGTGTCTCTCTCTCTGTCTCTCTCTACCTCTCTCTCTCTGTCTCTCTCTGTCTCTGTCTCTCTCTCTCTGTCTCTCTCTGTCTCCCTGTCTCTCTCTCTCTACCTCTCTCTCTCTGTGTCTCTCTCTCTGTCTCTCTCTCTACCTCTCTCTGTCTTTTTCTCTCTGTCTCTCTCTACCCCTCTCTCTCTGTCTCTGTCTCTCTCTACCTCTCTCTCTGTCTCTCTCTACCTCTCTCTCTCTCTGTGTCTCTGTCTCTCTCTACCTCTCTCTCTCTGTCTCTCTCTCTCTCTACCTCTCTGTCTCTCTGTCTCTGTCTCTCTCTCTCTCTCTCTCTCTCTCTCTGGCATTATTAATAACATATCTCTTGGGAGAATACTGAAGAAAGATTTCAGGATACGTTCTTACAATGAGCGTTACAGAACTAGAACCAATTTGGAAAGAATGCACTGAGAACTGCTCCTTCGCTGGTCGCAGTCTTGTCTCTGTCATGTGGAAAGGAAAAGGGAAATAGACCACTTGGTCTCTGTCCTGGACGACGGAGCCTCTCACACTTTATGTGCGTGTGACTCACAGCAGCACCTTATTCAAGTGCAGATTCAGTTCAGTGGGGCTGGGGTCTGTCTGAGACTGTTCCTGACAAGCTCCCAGGTGATGTCTGTGCTGCCGGTTCGTGGCTGAACTAACTTACAGAAAGGCTTTGGAAGAGTGCACTGTGGCTGAGGGAGAGGGGCTCACGTTCAGACAGAGTAAGGACTGAAAACTGGACACCAGGAGCTGCAGAAATAGTTGGATGCTTAGGATTTGGAGAGAGATGCTATTCAGACCATCATGAGTATTTATGATCTGCTGCTGAATTGTGTCAGGTTCAAATCTCCAGGCATCTGCCCCTTATGTAAACATTGTCTTTACTGTAGTAATTGTCACAACGGTGTTTAAGAGTCAGCCTTCTACTTGCTCACTCACATTGTCAGAAATGTCAAATCAGCAAATTGTGATAATAAGGAGTTCCAGAACCTACAAAAACCACACACTTACTTTTACTTCGGTACCTTTAAATTCAGCTAAATCTCTCACCTTTTCCTCAGAAGCATAAACAATAACTTAGGGATTTTAGAAAAATTCTTATTTGGCATAAACAATTCGTTTTGCTCTTCTTTGGGGTCCAAGAGTTTCAGAGCATTGGACAGCAAATAAGTGAGAAAGTACTCCTGATTTTAAAACATTACCGTATATTTCTCATGGCTTGTGTCTAATATGATAGCAATACAATTACAGTCAGATTTCAAAATAACATAACAGGTAGGTATATTAGTGTATGCTATAACTTCTGAACACATTAACTTTCTGTGTTATTATTATTATTATCATCATTGCAAAGCTCCAGGGTAAATTCCCATCTAACATTTTCTTTTTCCTCAAAATTTGCTCCACTAAATCCTAAATTGTTCCTTAATTGCTTAAGATTCCTTATTACAATATTTTAAGCAATTTTTAAAACCATTTTTACAATCCTAACAGTTTGAATTATTTAAGATACCATGAAAAGGCAAGCAAGACCACAAATTCTGAGGAAGCCGAAGCTTCTGTCTACATTAATTTATTACTACACTTATAATATTACTCATCTCTGTAGTCTATAGCTGATGTTCAACCTCTGGGATTATTTTTAATCCTATGATGCATATGATGATGAGTGTGGCATTTATAGCTAATTATTATCCTAATAGCTAACATTTATTGGGTACTTATCATGTATGGGCTTACTTTTAACTTCTGTACATGTCAAATATGTGTTATTCAAAGAATGTGGAGTCCTGTTATAAGCCTCAAGGGAAACTTTTGGCTCAGTTAACAACTTTTTCTTTTCTTATTAGATAGTATAATCTACTTAATACTCAGAAGTCTATCAGAAAGAGCTTTCAACATTTTTCCTTAATATTACATGTTTGCCTATAATTCAATATAGTAAATAAAGGATTATTTTTCAAATATATGACATATATTCAATATTTGTATGTTTCCACATTCAACCTAATATACGTTTAACAAGACTTCAGAAAAGATGTCATTTGATGTGGATATTGAATACACATGCTTCTAGTTAATTCCATTGGAAACAAAACCTTTTAACTCACTTTATCTACTTTGCCACATTTCTATACAATTGACCTCTTCTTTAATTTCCCAATTATACTTCTGTGGAGCTCCAGAATTGACAAGAACACACTGAAATTTAAAGGTATGCAGAATGCATAAATGAATTACAATTTGTAGTGCAGTTGCATATTAACATTAATCAAATTATGCATAACATATATTAAAGAAAATATGTAAATTACATTAAACAATAACATAAAATATGTAATTGATTGGATTTAATCTTTGTGTTAAGAGTTTCTTATTTTAACTAAGTTATATTTTTATTCTTCTAGTTTCACCATTTAGTTTACATGTGGACTACATTCTGGGCCACACCTGGATTCTTCAATAAGTTTTCTGTCGTATTTAAAGGACCAGGATGGGGTCCAGGTAAACCAAGACTTGGCCTGAGTGAAGACATCCCAGAGGTGGGTTGAGTTCATGGATTTGGTGATGCTGAAGATTAGTCCCATATTGTCAGATCAACAGCCAGCCTGTACAAATGCTGACTTCGTGTAAATCTGAAAAAAAGATGTTCCCTAAGGCAGACGCAGCCTCGTGGTATATAACTCAATGAGTGGACACCACCTAGGGGCGAGGAAGAGGGGTGCCTTCACCCAGGCAGACCCTGCCTCTTACCGGGAGCATGGCTGGGGACAGCAGCAGAGGCTGGTTTTGAGATCCAAGCACACCCACAGCCGGGAGACTGTGCAGAGGACCAGCCCATGTGACTCAGTCACGGAACCCTAAACCACTAGAGATGGAGGGAGCCTTAAAGATGAGTTAATCTAGCCTTTATTTTGCTCACGAAAATCTGAGGTCTCCAGAAAGGTCTAAAGTCACATAAAGATGGTGCAGTTATTGGATTAGAGCATGCCTTGATTTAGTCTGTAATAAAATAGTAGCAGTAAATAAAGAAATCCTATTTTAAAACAAAAATAATCAAGGTCTAGAGATTTAAAACACTGGAAACCAAATGAAATATTGAGTTTTATTCTGGAATTTCTCTTACAGACATGGAAAAGGAGTTTCTTTTCAGTCATTCAGGATTTATATTGTTACTCCTTATGAAAATAACTGCCATTAATAGTAGTATAGAAACAACAGAAATAGTAATCTACTGTTGATTTCACAGATAACCATGAGTATGGAATTTAGCCACTATTACAAGGAAATAGAATAATATATTTTATATGGGTATTATTCTTATTTTCCAAAAAAATTTGAATTAAATAAGGATGTTTTCCCATCTAGTTGTGAAAGCTTCAAAGTTGAAATTTCTCACTTACTTTTGGTTATGTTCAAAGTCGATTATGTAATAAGATCTAACTTTATATAGGTGAAAATATTTTGCTTAGTTCAGCTCCAAAATGTCTAGTTAACTGTGGTCCATTATTTTTCGTTTTTGAAGTAGATAACCTAAAGTGAATATTTTAAAGTCACACTGTTGCTTAAATCTGCATTTAAAAATAGAATTGCAGTGTTTCTAGAAAACTGTAATTTGAGAAAGTTGTTTTAATACAGCAACATTGCCCTTTGAGGCATCATTAGTTCCACTACTCAAAGTTACCTTCCATGTTACCTTTTGCTATACTTTTATGTCCATATAATCATGGACATACTTTTCTATTTATATTTTCATGTTCATTTTGGTTATGTTTATCATCAGTACATTTTGCTGAATTGATTCTTACTTTACAGAAGGCAAACTAAATTAGAATCATAATGCTTCTGAAATGAAAAACAAGTCTCCTAACTTTTATGTTTTTTTCTATGCAAGAAAAATGAATGTTAAAATCATTTTGGAAAAAAAATAGCAAAACCTTTCATTTCTTTTCTCATATCTACTCTTCACCTCATCTGAGTTTCAATGAGAGGAAGAAGCCAGACAGGATATAAATGAAACCCTTCTTTCTTGTCTTCCTAGGTTACGGGGAAAGAAGTTCCCTTCTCGTCGTTGGCGTCTTACCTGTTAAAGATATATGCTGTTGTACACTTCGCTGTGATGCTAACATTTTATGAAGAGACCTTTGCAGAAAAAGCTGTAAGTGTTGTCTATTTTAAGTAGTGTAAAAAATTATGTCATTTTGCTTGATAAAATATCTCACATGAAGACAAGCAAATTAATTCTTCTAGGCTATTGAATGTAAATCGATTGTATCCAAAGTGTCTCATTATGGAATGTCCATCAAATGGTATACTGTTGATCTAAATAATAAAGAGTGTATAATTTGCCACAAATAAATTCTTCAACAATTACCAAAAAAGTATTTTAGAAGTTAGAATGAAATGTTTGGGAAAGTATACTTTATATTCATTTCAATAAACTTACTCCCAATAAGAGAATCCCCTGATACTTTGACTTTAGAACGTTTTTTATGTAGGGTTCACTTCATTTGCTTTGTTCTTGTTAAACATTCAAAGTGTTCAGACTAACCAGAGCACTGAACCAGGGTTTAGAATCTGGATTATAATTCAGGCAGGTACCACCTGGAGAGAATGTGTCCACCTGGGGAGAATGTGTGTGCATGTGTGTGTTGTTGTTGTTGTTGTTTTGTTTTGTATTTTGGCCACATAAGAATACTCTCACTGCCTACATTTTGGAGAAAACAAAAATAACATGATGTATGTAAAAATACACAGTGCATTGTATTTTTAAATACCTGTTTTGTTTTTCAGATTTATTTATATTGTTTTCTTCCTAAAAGGATTAACATTATTTCAAAGGGATACATACATTACAGTAAGGTAACTAATTTGGAACTAGGTAAAATTGGATATAAAAATCACAGAAGAATAAAAAAATCAGTGTCTTTGACTTTGTTAGAAGGAAAACGTGTACCTCATGAAATAATTTCACTATATCGGGAATTTTGATGGCTCACACAGTGGCTTTAAGGAAATGGAGGGGCCTCTATTTTCAGTAAAATGGAGGTTTAGGTATATGTATTTCTTTTTAAGGTATACAGAGCATCTAGAATTGCAGATAAAATATACTTTAAAAAGCTTCTTTAAATGTGGCAAAAAATAGGGGTACTTCTTAGAGGCTAAAAACATTGAGAAAACGTGAACCCAATGAGGAAGCAGTGTGACTCCTGACAGCTGTCCCAGGGCTCTGGACAGTCTCTGCTGGCTGAGACCTTAAGGGACTGGACAAAGCCAAGAGCCTGCACAGGTGGAAATTCAGATAAAGGGCTTCAAATAAAACAACTGAAACCAGACCGAAACATTCTTGCTGATGGGACGGGGTAAGGATGAAAAGATGAAATAATGGAAAAGAAACTTGCCAAGAGTAGACTTGACTCTGAGGAGGCAGAATGAAAAAGAGTCTTTCCTAAGAATTTTGTTTTATTTTTTTTATCCTCCCTGAGGATATTTTTCCATTAATCTTTCAGATAGAAAGGGTGGGAAGGAGGGAAGAGAGAGAGAGACATGGAGGTGAGAGAGACACATCAGTTGGTTGCCTCCCTCATGACTGCAACCAGGGTCAGGAATTGAACCTGCAACTGAGGTATGTGCCCTTGACCAGGAATTGAACCTGTGACTCTTTGGTCCACTCTAACCACTGAGCCGAACCAGCCAGGGCTTTCCTGAGAACTTTTAACTACAAACAAGCCATCACTCAGATATGAATCCAGGATTGACGCTAACCATTGATTTATAAGCCTAAAGTTAAGAACATAGTTTAAAGTGATCTCAGATTTGGTCTCATGTGTTTGAAAAGCCTGTGTTCAAATCATGCTGAGAGCAGTTAATTAAACCCAAGTCTCAGCATATTCCCATGGAGATTCTCAATGATTGTGAACTCAGAGATAAAAAGCACAGGAACACACTATGAAAAAGCCAACACGACAAAGCATTAGCAGAAAAAAAAAAAGAATAGAATTAAACCCTCAAAAAACAGATATGGGAAATGAGATCAATTAAAACAAAAATTAAGTAAATTTAATAGATTTAAAGAAGTAAAAGTTGAAGAAATTAAAAATCATACAAATGGCTAACAGGTATATGAAAAAATGCTCAACGTCACTAATCATCAGAGAGATGCAAATTAAAACTATGAGGTATCACTTCACACTTGTCAGAATGGCTGCCATCAACAAATTATCAAACAACAAGTGTTGGCGAGGGTGTGGAGAAAAGGGAACTCTAGTACACTGCTGGTGGGAATGCAGACTGGTGCAGCCACTATGGAAAACACTATGGTGTTACCTCAAAAAGTTGAAAATTGAACTGTCATTTGACCCAGTGATCCCACTTCTAGGAATATACCCCGAGAAGCCTGAAACATCAATCAGAAAGAATATATGTACCCTTATGTTCATAGCAGCACTTTTTACAATAGCTAAGATCTGGAAACAACCCAAGTGTCCATCAGTAGATGAGTGGATAGAAAAGCTGTGGTACATGTACAAAATGGAATGCTATGCAGCTGTTAGAAAGATCTCTTATCATTTGAGATGACATGGAGGGACCTGGAGAGTATTATGCTAAGCGAAACAAACCAAGCAGAGAAAAATAAATATCACATGATCTCACTTATTTGTGGAATATAATGAACTAAACAAACTGATGAACAAAATCAACCCAGAGATATAGAGCTAGGGTACAGACTGACAAACCCTAGAAGAAGGGAGTTTGGGGGGGGGAGATAAACCACAGAACTTATATGCATGTATGCGTAACCAATGGACATAGACAACAAAGCTGGGGAAGGGGTGGGGGGTGGGGGAAAGATGTCAATGGGGGAAAAAGGAGAAACATCGGTAACAAAAACAAATTAATAAAAATTATTTTTAAAAATGAAAGAAATAAAAATAAATAAATAAAAATCATGAAAAAAAAAAACACAATAGAAAATGAAGAGGCTCATTTAGAAATAATCAAATTAAAATTCTAGAATCCAAAAATACAATAGATATGAGGAGGACAATGATTTAAATAGCAGTTTAAAGACATTTGAAAACAGAATTAGTGCATTAAAAGACAGAGGCAAAAAATGTTTCCATTATACAGTGCTAATAGACCGATCAAAAATACATGACAGAAGTTATCTTTAGACATAAATAATACTATGAAAATCTCTGAAAAAAAGGATATAAAAATCCAGACAAATATAAATAAATATAAATGCAATTAGTGGGCCATGAATCCAGGCAAGATAAATTACTTTTTTCAAAGACCAAGTCTCTGCTATTGACAGATATCAGTATATCCATGAAAACCCTGTGAGTAATAAAACTGTATGAATATTATGTACAGAGGAATAGTTCTACTATAGGGTTATTTTAAATAATTTTAATATATCAACCCTGTGAAACTATCTAAGCATGAAGTCTACTTGAAGTGGGTTAGTGAGCGTGTTAGGCAGGACTTTGGCGTTGTATGTGGCAGAAATTCAACCCAGAGTGAATTTAACTCACAGAGCTGAGGAGCTGGGCTTTTCCCTTCCTCTGGCCGTACTGCATCCAAGGAGCCAAAGGATGCCCTCAGGAGCCTTCTCGTCCCTTCTCACAGCCATGCGTTTCTCCTGTGCAGGCTCTGCCGCAGGTCTCCAGCCTTCAGGGTAGCAGGGTGGCGGTCAGGAGCTCTCGCTCTCAGTACTGCCTGGCAAACAACTGCCGTGAACGCAGAAGGGAAAGTTTTACATTGGAGCCTGACGGTAAGGCTCAGCTCATGGGGACATCACCCAACCAGTGACCAAGCCTGGATCCTAGATCACTCAGTCTGTGAGTGGGGAGACAGGGTCGGCTCTGGAGGATCCTCGTTGTCTGAGAAGAGGGAAAGGGTGGTTTGGAAGAAAAATTGAGATGATAATGAGTAGAAAAAGGAAATAGGTTTGAGCACTCAAAAATAAATATTAGATCTACATAAATCATTCTCACTCACAAATATGTGACTTGAACTTGTTTTCAAAAAATAGTATTTAAATTCTTATAAAATATCTATATTTTATAAAAATATCCTCCCTGCAGGATACCAGAAATGTCTTGAGAATATGATGTTGGGACATATACTCGCTTCCTGCTGGCTCCTTTTACATGTAGATGCTACAGCTAATGAAACCAATTCCACACTGTAGCAGGTTCATTTGCCTTTAGCTTCAGAAGAGATCAAATCTGAACCCAAGAATTTATTTCAATAGGGGCAAAGCTTTCTTAAAAGCAGCATCACTCTTTGTAGATATCAAACTACCCTCCTGTTTAGAGTTCTTGATTGCTTAACCTAAGGTCTCACAATCACCTCTTCAAGTAGCACATAATCAACCATGACTATTTTGTTAAATTACTTTGTTATCTTCATTCGTTCACCTAAATTATGACTAAAATATACATGCTTTAGGGCGTTCTGGTAGTTGAATGAAACCAGAAGAAAAGCAAGAACATCTGCATCTAAATACAGGGGTAGGCAAAAGTAGTCCTACAGTTGTTAGTATGGAAAACACAGTGTTTTCTTGTATAATTATTTATTATTTTAATTATTATGTTATTTATCATTATTATTAACCTACTTTGCCCACCCCTGTATCTAAAGCTTGGTATCTGGATCAGCAGTGAGTGCAGTTTGCATCACTGAATTTTTTTAGTTGCACTAAATAAAATCCCAGAATACATTATACTAATTTGTAGGAAGAAAAAATGAAGATTTACCCATTTTGATTTTGAAATAGAAACCCTTAATATGAAGTTCACCAAGAGATTTGAATATCTAGGCAAGTGTGAGCACTTTCTGGATAAAGATGTGGCCAGACACTATTTATATTAAAATATGTAACTTATAGCATGGTTTTCACAGGATTTTTCAACTGCAGTCAAAGCTATATGAGAAACTCATGTCAATATATTGACAAAGAGAAATATCAAGTGTCGAAATCCTTTTCAAACTGAAATTAGAGTTGGAGACAGCTTCATTCCTGACACAAATAACTTTTGAAAGGTGAATTTGCTTGTTTCCCACACATGTTTTTCTTTGCTAAAAACATGCTGTGCAATGAGGAAAAAGAGATTGCTTATTTGCGAAATTCTATAGTGCCTTTCTAGTCTCAGAGATGTTTGAAAGCGTATGAAGACATTACAATCCAACAGCAATATTTTTTTCCAGATTCGCTGTAGCCAATAATCACAGAGAAAAGTTGTGGCTGACTTGTAATTGGGGACCCTGCTGTGGTCCCATAGCCTTTTCTGTTTACGCATATACCAGAGTAGATAAATACTCACTTGTTTTATGTGTGCGAGTTTTATATAAATAACTTTAGGAGTCTAAAAAGCAATTTGATGGCCACCACAAAGGTGTGAGAGGCACATTCCTTTCTTTCTGAAACATGCAATGCATACATTTAAATATATAATGTTTGCTTTAGTGATATGACCCACAGACTTTTATGTTGATTTTGGTTTAGTAATGCTTGGGAAATCAATTCCTTGGCTACCAGGGTCCAGCTTCACGGGGTGATATCATGAATACGCATTTGAAATGAAAATATGTTTCCAAAGTAAAATCCTAAAGGCAATGCTATCTTTTTAAATAACAGACACAATCGAAACAGTTTGAATATTTAATAGTCTTGTAATGTGTAACAATGTTACTGCAGATATGTGTTTGGTTTTGTTTGTTCTTTTGTGGTTCTTTTTGGTTTTCTTTTTAAGAAGACATGGATCACTGCCTCTTGTACGCCCCCTTCCGGGGATCCAGGCCCACAACCTGGGCATGTGCTCTGACTGGGATCGGAACCTGCAACCTTCTGGTGCACGGGACGATGCCCAACCAACCGAGTCACACTGGCCAGGGCCGCAGATACGTTTTAATAAGGATGATTTGATGATACATTTCAAGTTAATGAGGCATCTGAGAATATCCAATATAAATTTGGAAACAGATTTGTATAGTTTTAAATTCCTCTGCATGTTTTAGTCTGTGAAACATTATGGACACTGAGGTTTTGTAACCAACGTTTCCATGTTGACCAGTTTTAACAGACCCTTTGAAAAAAGCAAATCAGTGTGTTCAGTCGTACTCGTAAACAGTGTCACTTGCACAAATGCAATCTAGCTTAGGTTCTATGTGAAACCTCTCAAGTCAATATCCTCTGTGTACTGTTTTCTTCCAGCTCAGCCCATTGGGATTTAATTTAATTTCCTAAAGTGTTTAGGTGGTAACTGAAGTAATGTGAAAAAAATGAAATGTGAGTCGAAATGAGCATCAATTATAACTTAAAGCCACAAAATGAATGTAATAAATGTGTAGTAAAGAAAGAATCTTAGTAAAAGTTACCTTACTAATAAGCCTATACTCTAGGAACTTAGAAAAGTAGCCATTGTGAGTTCCAATGAAAACTATAATTTTTCCACAATATTAAAATATAATAAAGTTGGAAAGTGCACATTGAAAATGTCATACACATCAAATAATAAAATACAAATTGTGAAATTAGATATATCTTTATACCATTAGTATATGGTCCATATCAAGTAGCTCTTTTAAAAGTTATCATACAGTAGCCCCGGCTGGTAGAGCTCAGTTGGTTGGGCATTGTCCCAGGCACCAAGAGGTTGTGGGTTTGATTCCTGGTCAAGGCACATGCCCAGGTTATGGGCTTGATCCCCAGTAGGGGGCATGTAGGAGGCAGTCGATGAATGTTTTTCATCAGTTTCTCTCTCTCCCTCTTTCTTCCTTTCTCTCTAAAGTCAATTAAAAAACATATTTAAAAAAAAAAAAATGGCCATGAGGAAATAGGGCTGATATATACCATGGTGTGGAGCTGGGATGTTGGATGTGAACAGTAATTACAAATGGTGGGTCCTGGCCGGTTTGGCTCAGCAGTTGGAGCGTTGGCCTGCAGACCAGAGAGTCCCAGGTTCGGTTCCCGCTAAGGGCATGTACCAAAAAAAACCAAACATACAAACAAAAAAAACCCAAAAACAAATGGTGGCTTTTGCTTACTGTTTATAAATTTGAACAGATGCAATTTAGTTATAGGTTCGTATATTAGCTAATAATGAGTTGAAATTACCTCCAGTTGTTTCAGGAGAAAGAAAAAAAAGACAAACTGTTTGCATCATGTTTTGATGACTATGTTAGCCAGCCTGTTATATTATATTCTGGTGTTCTCATAAAGATGAAATACAAACACCATCAGTGAGTAGGGAACTTATCTGGGGGCAATGTATCCAACTCCTTCCCTTTACTGACCCACTTTCAATCTAGAGCAGTGTTTATCTGACTCTAGACTTAGCTGTGTAGCTATAGTCTAGATCTCTGCCCTTGCTCCCTTTGAGTTTGTAGGTCATATTTATTCTACCATTGTCACACTTTGATCCAGAAGGTATCAGGAAGGGTTAGTTTGAAATTCATGGCAATTTATTTATTTCTGTGTGATGATGAAAAAGTTACTAAATCTCTTGAGACCCAGTTTAGTTGGTTTGTTAGATATGAAGCAGATATAATGGAAAAGGTTGTTGAAATTATAAAAAAGAATTACAGTGTATGAAACATATAGCATAGAAGCTATGAAATAGTAGGTCTTCAATAAACACTATTATTACTGTTGACATGTAAATAAAATGCATATCCTTGTCCCAATAGTTCAGTTGGTTAGAGCGTCATCCCGATAAACTAAGGTTGTGAGTTTGATCCCCTGTCAGGGCACATGCAAGAATCAACCAATGAATACATCAATAAGTGGAACAACAAGTCCATGTTCCTCTCTCTCTCCCCCCTTCCTCTCTCTCTCAAATCAATAAACAAAAATTAAAATAAAATAAAACAAATTTATAAAATATAATTAATTTATAATTATGACAAAATTGTTACTATAATTCAAAAGATAATGCCTTTGACATTACATATAAATGTATAGATTTTATCAAATACGAATATGAGTGTGTGTGAAATCTCTTTCATATATGTCTTTGCACTCATAAACACATTCTTCTTTAAATATTTTCTGTATTAAAAACTACTTTATGTTTAAAACCACAAAGAATTGGTCATATTAAAAATAGCTGTTGGAATGTGGTATTTATTCACAAAAATCTAAGTAATTTCTTCACAATGGGGGGGGGTAGATACTTCAAAGAATTATAAAAGTCAAACTATAAAGAAAAATTATTAGAAAAACACTGAGTGTAATATCATGAAATTGTCTAACTCATTCTCCAAGCATCCAACAAGGTAAGTAAATGACATTAGGAAAACCAGAATGTCCTCTTTTTGAAATGTCAACCTCTTTGAAAAATATCAGTTACAAATAGTGTAATGTAAAATAAAATTTGGGTCTGTTTTTCCATGTCAACTTTAAATTCTAATGCACTCTCTGATAACTCTCCTAAGAAATTCTGTTGGTCTGTGTGTTTGTTTGACAGACACTAACACAGGTCGCTCTTCTCCTGAGAGTTTGCTTCATTATCCTGACCTTGACCTCCATTGGATTTATTCTGGATCAAAGGCAAGATGTGAAATTCTTTCATTTGATATAATTTTATAATGTCGTTTTTAAAATACATATGAAACTTTGATATTCACCAAATATTTGTTATTGAAAAACAAAAAGTTAAACTAGTATTTCACAGCTTTATTTTAAATGAAACAGTAGCGGTTGACCTGATTTTATATCAAGGGTGCATTTTAAATCTAAGCCTTTTAAATGAAAGTTAGGAATTTCAAATTTACTAAAGAAAATCTATAAATACAATGATTAATTTGGCAAAACATAGACCACAACTCTGAGTACTTAATAAAATATAAAATGTATTTGAATGTTTTTCCTGTGTCATTGAGTAGTTCATAATATATGTCTAAATGTGTGTACATTTAAAGTTTATGTCCTTTACCCTCACACAGTATTTTATTTAAGGAATCTTATTTTAAATACTACCCTGGCCAGCAAATACATTCACTTAAACAACTTTAAATTGCTTTTTTGGCATGAGGTATACTAAAAAAATCTTATTTGTTATTGCTCGACATATATTTATCATTATTATTAACACTAATACCAACATTTATGTAATTAATATGTACCATGGACTATGTTATGTTATTAATGCTTACAACAATACTCTGAGATAATATTACTATAAAGCACATTTTACAGATT